CATTAAAAAATTATGGATATGTCAACCAACATTCAGCTGTCAGGGGTGCAAGATTAAAAGCTTAAATCTTGTACTTAATTGTTAGATTCAAAAATGAAAAGTAAATAAATTCTCACAAAATGGAAACAGTAACAACTGCTTTTTACTCCAGGGAAATTTGCATGAAATTAAATGAGAAAGCAATTTATTCCATGCATCTGAATCTTGTTTGACATGTAAAATGCTACCAATATGCGAAAGGTATACTCTATATATTTTATGAATAAGCACTTAAGTACTGGTATGACCTTTAGCAAGTCCCTGGTTTCAGGATTTCCTTGTATCAATCTCATTTTTCCCTTTATTTTCCTCTAAATGTTTCAACACCTCATCAGAATTATTTTCCAATTTACCTTGTCAATTTGCCAAGAGCTCAGGGGATTTTTCCTTAGTGCTCTTACTATGAATACTGAAAGAATCAAAAATGTGACTGGGCAAATGAATATAGGAAAAGTAGCTATTAACTACAAAAAAACCCCACTTCTAGTTCAAGAAATCCCTGACCTGCATATCTATGTAGCCTGGGAGAGTATTCTGGGCAGTGCCATTGCAGGTTTATATCATGACATACTTTTTTCATTACACTTTACCCTACCCATCATTGACCAGCATCAGACACCAGGAAGACTGGGCCATTCCTCCGACACAGTTCTGTCACTTTGTGTGTTATGTTTTTAGTTGCAGCATTATTGCTTAAACACCTTAAATACCTTTAAATACTCTTCTCTTTGAAAGTAATTTCTTTGCTGCTACACTTAACACTTGGTGGTGCTCCCAAGTTAATTCATATTCAAAAGGATTCGGCTTTAAGATGAATGGAGTTTTGCCATTCTGGGTGTTCATGAATGAAGTGCATGGACATATATTGTTGTAAGCCTTTGACAACAGTTTACTCTGCTTGAGTTTCTACATGAGTAAAACAGACAACAATACAAATTTTGCTTTCATTTCCTGAACAGTAAGACTGAAAACTAAATGTTAGTATAAAAGAAAGATGTTACAGTCCTGATTCTGTGCGTTCATATTCCATGTTTTCCAGCCCTTGTACTTCTGTGTTTAGCTACATGTCATATATTTGGGAGAAAACTTGTTTAAACTGGTAAAAACAAGGTTGAGAAAGAGCAGCTTCTTCCAAAACTATATTTCTTCAGACCTTGGCTTGTGATTCCAATGCCCTTAGGCATGTCCACAAACCTTATTGCAGCTTGTAAAGTGATGAGCTGTAAAAGGATGGGATTACAATGTCAAAACTGCAAAACTTTGTAATCTGTTCTTGAAGGTGCTGACCGCTTTCAGTTAGTCACAGCTGTTTTTCTGAAACAGTAAAATTTGATGAAAAAAAGGTTATGGTTTAGGCTCATTATGAGCTCAGGAAAGAAGGAAGGATATAAAAAATTTATTTCCATAGCTGTCTTTGTAAAGGTGAGAAGACAGATGAAGGGAAAGGTAATAAAGAGGGAAGATCAAGCTTTGGACAAATGGAGAGCACCAGAACTGTATAGACTGATGAAAAAAATAGCCAAGAAATGGCAAATAATTGATCATAAAGAAATTAGTTTTCATGGCAAAAGAAAAAAAGGAAATGTAACAATGTAAGCAAAGTTCTGGATGTGGATAAGAAGAAAGACGAATATGAGAAACATAAGTGTAAGTCAAGATTTTTGCACATTCAGTCTTGCCACAACAAGGACAATAATTCGAGATGTGTATATGGAGGTACCCAGTTAGAGTCTTGTTTTGACTGGAGACAGAACGACTAACCTGCTTTATATTGTTAGTGAAATGTAAATCAATGTGGCATCACAAATATTCTACTTCCTTTTCATTCTCGTATTCAATTCAAGATGTCACTGTTAATCTGTACAGCTTTACATCATCTGGAATGTTGAAGGTGTGGAGAAGTTTTTTGAGGACCCTGGGACTAAATTTTCAGAAAGTATTATGAAGTTGTTTTTCTGCAAGATTGCATCATTAAATTTGCACATCTTGGTCTCCCATGTCTGATGCAGTGATTCCCTCATTTGATTTTCTACTTGATTTGTGTTTCTTCCTGATAACGCACCTCCCAATTCTAGAAAATGTTTAGCTTTTATGTTTCATAGAACATGTTGTTTGGTGAGTTGACACTAATTTTTTTATTTTGGTTAGTTGTTTAAAATGAATGATCTTTATTTTGTGGCCAAGTGGTTAACCTTTGAGAGCTGTGGCTGAATGAGTTTGACTCACTGCTCACATGTTTCTGGCATTGTCTGTGTCGGGTCAGCTGAAAAGTCAGTTATTGAAGGAAGCATAGATCATAAAGTTTTTCTCTTCACTTACATTTGGCCTATTCAAAGAATTTATAAGTCTCTGTTCATGCATAAAAGAGATCAAATCAGCAATTCTATTTGTACGCAAAATAAGAATGGTGTCCAGGCTACTCGCTGGCTCAGCACAGGGAAACACAAAAGTTGGCACTCAGAGAAAAGTGCAGTGAATACTGTCTGGACAAGAATCTAGAGCATCTGCACAATACTGGCTATAAATCAGTTGTTTCATCTATTACTGCTAAAGAATTTTACTTTAGAATACAGAAAAAAAAATGCTCTTTTTTTCTGAGGGGCTTTGTGATTTTGCTACTTACCTTTACAAAACATTAAAACATTCGTAATTTGCAGAACAATTTTAAAAAGATCCTATGAAAAGATTAGTCTTAGAAATATGGATTAGAAGTGACCTCTGCTGAAGCTGCTACTTGAAGCAGGACAGTCCCTAACATTGGATCAGGTCAGTCTTTAAATAGAAACTCTACCAATTCTACGAATAACCTCTTCTAGTGCTGCACTGCTCTTCTAATGGAGATTTTTTTTCCTAATGGCCAATTTGAACCTTCTGAGGGGCAGTTTTTGGCCATGATCCCTTCTATATCATCTGCCACTGCTGGGAAGACTTTGAATACATCATCTTTGTAGCTCCATGTAGTTGCAGGCTCCCAGCAGATCGCCCTTAGCCTCCTCTTCACGAAAAAAACCAAGCTCCCTCAGCCTGCCCTCTAGACCTGAAACCATCATAGTAGACCTGCGCTGGACCCTCTCCAGTTTCTCAATATCCTTCTTGAACTGGAGCCAAAAACATTATTCAAGGTGAGGACGCACAAGCGCTGAGTAGAGGTGGGTAATGACTTTCCTGGATCCGCTGACCACATTCCTCCTACATGTAGCCCAGTGCACTGTTTAAATTATTGACCATGAGGGCACTTTGTTAGTTCATATTCAACTCAGCAGCCACTGCAGCCTCCAGATAATTTTCAGCAGGCCTGAAAAACAGCAAGTTCCTTCCTTGTCTGTACTGGTGAATTGGGTTTTTTCTCCCCAGGTGCAGAATTTTGCATTTATGAATGTTTCTAGAGCAGAAACCTCAAAAAGGTTTCTTTTGCCTGGGCTTCCAGTGTCTTATGGTGCTTCTGAATTGAAGTTCTACCCATCAGCTTGGCAGCCACACCTCCCAGTTTTGCATCATCTGAAAATCTACGGAGTATACATTCTGTCTCCTTGTATGGGCTGTTGATGAAGATACTGAACAGTATCTTCCTAGTGGTCCATTGGTTACTGTGCTCATTTCCAGCCGCCGACCTGACATCAAGCCATTGACTCTGCTCTTTGAGCTTGGGTGAGGACGAAGTGAGTAGGAGGACAGTGATATTGCTAGAACTTGCAAAATGTTACTGTAAAATTTATTTTTATTTATCAGCTGTTTTTGGATGTATGCTGTATTAGTGCAAACATTCTTTTGCTTGGCTCTTACTCAGTTTCTGATGGAGATTAAGATCACTTGTACATTTAAATCAAGATTGATTCATTGTCTTTATTCTTACTAAACAGTTTTGGAATTTTTTTCATTTGAAATGTAATTCACACTCTAATGTTCAGGAATCTCATCAAACAAGAGTATGGTAAAACTGCAAAACTAAGAAAAACAGCAGGGTAAAAAGTTACTATGCCTGTATCTCTTGAATTCAGTTGCATACTTAAACAAAAACTGCTTAATACTGTACGTGACTAAACTTTGAAGGAATTTTTCTAAAGGAGTTGTGAACTTTCTCTGCTGTATGGTCTTTAAAGTCAAAGCAATGCATTTGTAAAGTGGCAAAGAAAGAAGTTCATAGAGAAATTCTTAGCTGAGATAGTTCCCATTGCTTCAACAGGGCATGTGGCTAGATAATAATGCTTCTCTTAGGCCTTAAAATCAAGAATCTTTCTCTAAGTTAATTTTTTAATTACTCTTGATGAATATTTATTAGACATAACAATAATTTAAAGTAACTGCTTTATACTAAGTGAGCTGAAAGTAGTTGTCACCTAAATATTACCTAAGAAATTGTGTGGAAGTGCAGTTGGCTGGACATAGAAGTGCAGGGGCTTTTTAAAGATAGAGCACAATGTGTTACACAAATAAATATGCCAAAATATATGGCCGTAATATATCCTTGATGTATGGCATTAGATCTCATTGAATATATGCCTTGAAATAATAAAAAAGGAATTTTTCAGAGATTTCAAAGGAATTTGAAATTACCAGAAATGGGAATTTTTGTAATTTGGTGAGGTTTTTTCAGACATTGCTGTGACACTGTGTTTGCACAAGCAAAACCAAGTAGCTAATCTGTAAAAGAAATCTGAGTTGTTAACCTTTCTTGGATGAGTGTAGGCAAAATTTTATTGGACTCTTTAGAAGGTAAAAGGGTAGTATTAATAAACACTGAAATATTAAAACCAAAACCTGTTTCCATGAAATGACAAAAGAATTTAAAACTCTTTTCATAAATACAGATTGAAGGCGATTGTCTTTATTTCCAAAATTTTCTCAAGAACAAAGGAGTAGGAAAAATTGTAAGATATCTGAGCATGTCAAGGGCTACCTTACCAATTTTACTGTGTATCATATAAAGGTGGTTTTTAACACTGATAATCTCTTAATTGCAGGAGGAGGAATTGGAGGCCCAGATTTCATTCCTACAAGGACAACTAAATGACTTGGAAGCCATGTGCAAATATTGCGCAAAGATGATGAACACACATCTTGGTAAGTGCAGTATGCTGCATTAACCTGTAAGTCTTTGTGATGGCTCTTTTCCTGCTTGTATTAGAACTAAAATAATATTTATGTCGTACGGAGTGTATTATTTTATAAATCATGGAGAAAATTGAATTGCTGTACCCAGTTGTTCTATCAGATGCTGACATTCACTGTATCTTTATACTGTCAACTTTTAAACATGGGAGTATGTTAGCCACAGATGATGCTAAAAAAAAACATAGAGGCATTTTGGCACAGATGCCCTTTGTCTGTTCCTAAGATGTCTTGTACTGTACAAGACAGACTGAGGCTCACAGCTCACTTTGTAAGACCATTTGCAGTTTGACAGTCCCAGAATGATACTTGATGTGTGCAGTGATACTTGTATAAATTCATATGCTTTCATTAAATGTAACATCTGCACAATCTATGCTGATTGCCTTTATTACGTAAAAATGTGTTTCCATAGGCTGACTATTCTGTAATCTTTTGCTCAGGTCAGGAGAAATACGCTGAGGTAGGAGTCAATACATTTGGAACAGAATCAGCAAAGACTCCAGTCTAAAATTTGACATATATTGCCAAGACAAATCAGAGAAAGTAAACAAAAAGCTTCAGTCAATTCACGTGTAAATATACTTAGCTATGTTTTGATAAAAGCAGCAGTTTATAAACTGTGTTGGACTGAAGTCCAAAAATTAATATATTTAGTTATGTGAAAAAGCACTGTTATTAAGAAATCAGGGCACAACTGCAATAATTTTAAGGTTTATTTGTAGCCTGAAACATCACAATCTAAGCAAAATAATTTAAAGTTGACTATTTCAGTGGGTAGACTTGAGTACATGATACCTAAGTTTGCCAGGTCAAAAAGATCAGATGTGAAAGCTGTATTATTCTTGTATTTTTATTTTCTTTTATGTGAGCATTTTAGTAGCCACTGTTATGAGCCTAGGAAGAGCTATAAATACTGTGTTATCTGAAAGTTTGGAATCACAGCCTTCAAAAGGCATGTGTAAACATCTAACCCCAACAGCTTTATTCTGACGTATTGTATTGCTTCTGTGAGGGTGCATGAGCAATGATGAGACTAGAGGCAAGCGCAAGGGGTAAATTATTGCCTACTGAAATGATGGGGGAAAGATTACTGTGTCAAGAAGAAAAGCTGGAGTTACTTTCCTTTAGGAAAGAAGACGAGGAGTGTTTAGCAGGGATGTCAATTCAAGTAGAAGCGTAAGCACTTCACCAGCTATGGCTCTGCACTAGAGATCAGAATAAAGCCAGACAAAGATACTTGAAGTAGTCTGCCTTTCAGCACCGGATCCATGAAATGAAAGGAAATGATCTGTGATAGTATCCAGGTGTTAAACTCTTTCTCCCAAATATATTAGAAATTGGAACATTCAGGGCGAATAGTCTCCTGAGAGCATCGCAGAGCCGTTTCTAACCCTCACAGGAGAGGGGAAGCCATCCCCTATACAGCACTGGGGTGGGGATGCACTGGGTGCATCGTGGCACCCCTGCAGCACTCTCAGAGCCTTCCAGCCTAGTTTCTTCCAAGTCCTGCTCCCTGTACTTCTTCGCAATATTCCCACACGTCTTGTCAACATCATGGGCTATTAACTTTGTAAATTTGGGTTGCACTAATGCATTTAAATCCTGTAGAGATTAACAGTTACGCATGACAAAGAGAGCACAAGAGAAACTGAGATATCACCAACCTTCCCAGCCTCTGTGCTTGTAGCAAACTGATGAGGTTAGGTGTCCCCAAATCAGCCAGCACATGATCCATGGGAAGACGGATAAAAACCACCAAGGTTCTGACTGACCTGACCTGTGCAAAATTCCTTCTGACCTGAAATTTGTCCATCACCTTCATCCCGGTGATCTGAGAAGCACTTGCCAGCAGGCTGTCCGAGAATATGGATTCTCTATAGCATCACAGAACACCCGCTGAGGATTATCTCCAGTGTCCATCCACTGCTTGAGGCTTCAGGGAATGGCAGCAAAATAAAACTCAGAACATATCTGGTCATTTCTGGGTTAAGGGAAAACCCAGCAAGGGCAGCTACTGCAGCTGGTCTGATTCTCCCCCAGGTATCTCTTACCCATGAAAATTGCTTCATTTCAGAGACCACAGAGCAGATAATGATGAGTTATATCACTCCTCTTGTAATCTGTCAGGACACTTAATTTCAAGGATATTACTTCTTCCTGTGGGGTTGAGTTTTTCTGTCTTCATCATCCAGCTTTTGGCTCTTGCAGCATTCTTGACAGCGAGGTTGAAAATCCTCATTTAACTTACCTAGACACAGTGATTAAGTAATCTCTCAACACTGTCTTTGCTAGTAGGACACTTTAAGATTCGTTTTTTATGGGTTGCTTTTTAGACACAATCATTTTTGTGGTCTTCCTTTGAATTCTTCAGGGGTTTCATATGCCTTTTGAAGTGGTTTAATCAGGTCAGTATACGCTGTAGCAGCACTGGGCTCAGCAAAGTAATTCCTTAGCAAAGGGAAGGTCATCTCTCTACTCGTACATGGCATTCCTCTTTTTAATGCAGCATCACATTAGTGCTCTTTAACACAGTGGTAGGTTGAGGTGACAATCCATTATGACCTTTAAAATTTGGTGAATCACAGCTTTCTAAACAGAGGATTTTATCCTGTAGGTAAAACCAGGAAATGCTTATTTCTGTATGTATTCCTTCCACTTGATTATATTAAAATTCACTTCTTGTCATTTGGCTTTTTAGCTGAATAATTTAGGTTCCTCTGCAATCTACTGTTTTCTTCTACCACTCAGACTCCAGACTTAGCCATCATAAATTTAATAGTTGTCTAAATTATTTATAAAAACATATAGATATGTAAAATTTGAGGAGCTTTCCAGAACCAATTCCTTTAACAAAGAGATAGACAACATTTTTAAGAATTATCAGTAAGTCCGTTTTTTAGTCTAAGGCCTGCCCTTTAAATTTGATAAAGTTTAAGGTTCTTATTTTCTAAAAAAACACATTTTTTTAGATTGAAGTTTTAAAAATTTTTTTCAGACTTTATTACTCAACAAATATTCTGTTTCCTATATTGACTCCATTATATTTGCAGGTCATTTTTTAACAAAATAATGTTAATTCAAGCTTATAAAAATGCAGATCCAGTGACCATTCACCACAGAATTATTTAACTGGCCCTACAAATCAAAATGTCAAACAGTTATAGAATGTTCTTTTTGCCGTTTCCAGTGAAACAATTCAGAATTTTTTGGCCATCTTTTCTCTGGTTCTTTCTCTTAAAAGGGGATCCTGATGACAGTCAGGGGCAGTTACTTCATGAGAGAGATGTCATGTGTTGTAGCTCAGAAATGGTCAAAGTAACCGTGAAGTCATCTATTCTGTTTTGAATCCCTAGTAATTTATAAACTATTTATATCAATTCAGATTATACCAAGTATATTTTTATATGGTGTCTTTTTAGAAAATAATTTTGTTATAATGAAATTCTCAGGGAGAATTTGCCTCTTTGCCATATAGTGATATTATGTTTCTTCAGCAAGAGCATTGTATTTCTATAGGTTTCAGCAGACATCTGCTAATACTGCATTTTCTGTGCATAGAGCGTAAGGAAAGAGCAGAGGGACAGAACAGCAGTTTTTGTTTTGTTCATATATTCAAAGATGCTTTCATTAAATGTTCATCTCCTTCTGTAAATAAGCCACACAGTGTACCACACGGCAACGACATAATCAACTGCTTGTAATATCAGGGGATGTTACCATGGGAATGAATGATGGTTCTGAAATATTACTACTTAGCGCTATGTGTAGAAATTAGAAATAGGTTTTTGATTATGAAAACGGGCAAAAGCCATTCTGTGATCTTTGTCTCCTTCTTAGGGCTGTGCATTAGATGGAGTTTTACTTTTCTTCCCCCTCTCCCTTAATCACTGAAGAACTGCTATGGTGGAATGCCTGTTAATGCCTCCAAGGACAAATGTTGAAATTTTTATACGTAAAATAGCCAGACAGGAAAGCAGATTTTAATTCTGTTCCCAACCTTTTTCTCAAGCTTGTCATAGCTTTCAAAAAAAAAAAAAAAAATTGTGTTCAATTTTTTCATTGATGAATTGAAAGTACCACCAATTTTTTAAGCCTTCCCTGCGGTTTTGTTCACCATATAAATGCAGAATATTACTCAGTTGATAATGAAAAAGTATAGTTGCCATAGCTATTACTGCTCCAGCTTCATCATCAACATTTTTCTTTCTGTGAGGTTCTTTTCTGTTAGTGCATTTAAATACAGCAAGGCTCAGTGATTCAGAAAGCTGTAGTGTACAGGTTAAGTATTACAATATTGTAACCTGTCATATGTTATTTACTTTTTAAAGAATTTTGATTGTTTCCTCCTTCCTTTTGCTATGTGGAAAGAAAAGCATCAAGCTAGCGAATGCATTTTCCCTGGTAAATGTGACCTCTGTCTGATGTCTTAGAGTAGATCGTGAATACTTTAAGAGTCGTGCACCCAAACATCACTCAGAGGGCCCCACTGTGTCTGCTGGAAGGCTCCTCATTTGTCCTGCATTTTTGACATGGAACTGACTTTGAGGTGTTAGTTCAACATGAAATCAGTCTGGAGGGTCTCAAAGACCAAAGCTTCATTACATCTGAGGCTCAAGCCAACGCAGTGCTGTTAAGTGGCAGTTCAAGTGACACCAGTTAATGACACGGCCGTCAGACACCATCTAGAATAGCAGATTCTAGATGGTGTCTGACTGCTATATACTGCTATTCTAGTATGTTTAGGGTTTGGAGCATGTCGCCACTGGCCCACGATTAAAGCACAGCCTCTTAACAAAAAGTAAATGAAAACCCTGGAAAAGTATCCATCCTCCATAGGCAAGTACTAATATGAGAGATCGTGAAGGATGTTTCTGAGCTTGCCGGAAGCTTTTGTTCCAGAGTGGAAAGTGCTGAATTTTAAAACATCGTCTGTTTATAAGGGACAGGAA